TGCCCCCCCCCGCCCCCCCCCAGAAGACACCCCCCATTCCTAGAAGGCAAAACTTGTTACCAAATGTTTCCTTGGCCGCTTTTGCCTGGAGGCAACAGGAACTTAATGGATTTGTGGCCTATTATCTGGTTTTAAAAATCTAATCAGATCTCATTAGAAGATATTTAGGGTCTCTGCTGATTCTGGGAAATCTCTACTTTTGTTTTGCAAGTAAGCCAGTAAGCTGTTTTCAAGGATCACTTTCCTTGGCAGGTTCCTCCTTAAAGAGAAAGGGGTCCTGGTGGCTTTCGCTTTAAATGGACTGTACGATAGGTAAGAGTAGGTGTGGGGTAGGATGTGTGGCTCAGGCACCGCATTCAGCCGTCAGACACTCGTGTCTTTGAACCTGGCTTTGATAATGGTTCACACGTCTTAAATCTTTCTGTGCCTCGGTATCCCCACCGAGGGAATGCTTTTGAAAGAATATAGTCTCTCATCTATTGAGTCTAGGCTAATGGTCCCCTTCAAAGAATCAAGCCTGTGTGGTGACCTTCCAGAATGTTCTCCGACCACAAGACAGTGTCTTCCATCCCAGCCTCTTGTGACCAGGAGCATGTATGTATTAACACTGCTGCCTGGCCTTGAGGAGGGAAAATTGACATTTGAAATAGGCTTCACATGACCATGCAAAGCAACACCCCAGACGTTCCCATTCCCAGCAAGGCCTGTTTTAACGGTACTTTGGTGCAACGTGCTGTAAGCGGGCCACATGTCAGCATTGTCATTGTTAGTCCCAAAGGCAGCTGTGTGCAGAAGCCCCCATAAAACGTAGAAAGAGGTTGACCTGCCTCTCTGTCTCCTCGGTCACCTTAAGTTCTAACATCTGAGGCGTCCCCCAACCCATCCTGTGTCTCCATTGTTTCCGAAGATCTCGGCAGGGGAGCGGCTTTGAGAACCAATGTCTAAGAGTAAGGCGGGAGGCACCTGACCCCACGGCTGGGAGTCTGCACGGCCCTGGGACTCCACTCGCACTACCTGTTGGGGAGGGGGGTGGGGGGTGGTTCCCGGCTTTCCTTGTGAACGATGTTGGCTTCAGGCAGGAGTTGGGAGTCGAGACCCCACAGGGGAGTCTTGTCTGGAGGGCGCGGGCTGCCCAACCTAGTCCTGGGGAAGACCCCCCACAAGGTGGGCACCACTCACCAGGCCAGGCCCTCAGGCAGCCTCTGAGGAGACTCCAAACACAGACTTCAGATCTGGAAAAGCGGCCTCCAGTGGCTGTGGAAGCAGGAACACGGCGAGGGCCTGCAGACCTTTCCAGCTCGTCCCGCGCCCGGTGGCTGGGCGTCCCCAGCCTGACTTCCTCGGCACCAAGAGGAAGCGCGGAGTGAGCCAAGCAGAAGACGTTAAATGCATGATGTAGACGTGCTGCTTTCCCACTAACTTTGTCGTATTCAGCATGAGTGATTTGTTTAACGTTGGCAAAGGAATTTAAAAAGTAACAAGCTCTGTGTCCTTGTTTTGGCTGTCCACAGTTCTTGCATTTCCCTGCCTTCCTTTACCCCCGCCCCCCCCCCCACCATCGCATCCACTTTCTGTCACAGTTGTCCGTATACGGTGGCAGCTCTTGGTCCCGTTGGTGTTCGTGTTCCACTGGAAACACGGGGGGGGGGGAGGGGGGGGAAAGCAACTTTTTTCTAATTTTTGTATCGGTATCCACGAGCGTTTGTATTTTTTGAATTGCAAACACTGTGTTTTCTGGTCTTTGGGGGGTTGGTTAATTTTGTGTATTGCCTTCTGGAAAACCTGAGTTTTAGCACAGTCTTGAGCAGATTTGAAATAAATTCTTTGGACACTGCCAACAACCGAAAGGCAGGGCCCGGTCTGGATTACTGCCCAGAAGCACAGCGCGCCTCTTGCCACGCGGGCCCTGGGTGGCGGCGGGCGGCTGGGACAGGGGAGGCAGAAGGGAGGCCACCCCGTCTCTCCCCCACAGGGCCTGCGCCTGTGAGACGCCATAGGGCTGTGCTGCGTGTGCCCACGAGATCTTGAAGCGGTTCCATGGCTCTGAGTAAGGTGCATCTCAGACAAGGGGGGCTTTATGAATTCATTCTCGCAAGAGGGGACAGGGCTAGACATTGGTAACAGTTAGCACATGGTTAAGGTACATTCGTGAATAAAACATTGGTCAGGGGTTACAAGAAACTGAGATTTGGGGGAGACCTCCTAATAACCTATGAGCCTCAGGGAGACCGACCGGCCCCTTCAACCACACCGTCTGAGCCCAGGTGTGTCCGACCTGAAACCTCTTAGCCTTCCTCAAACTGTGGTCCTCACAAACACCCATCTCACACGCCTCCCCCAGCAGCCCCTTCGGCCCGGCCTCACTGCCCGGTTGGCTGCTGGATCCCTGAATGGCTTACCTGGGGAGGGGCGGTTGCAGACTCCAAGATGAGGCAGCAGGGCATTTATAAGCAAGGGCTCTGTGGATCAACCCCCTTGGGAGCGAAGGAAGCAGGGCCGGCCAAGGGAGACATCGGGTTGGGACGCAGACCCAGCAAAGGCCTCTGCCGCTCTGGGTTGGGAGAGGGGCACTGGGTTCAATACTCCCGTCTCGATCCAGCACGGACGTGGGCCACCCCGGGAAGGAGGTGAGGTGATCCCTGAAGAGGGCCAACGGCTGAAGGTTGTGCCTTCAGTGCTCAGAACAATAAGTTCTTCTACCTGAAAGAGGATCTGAGGGAGACATCTGGGCATCGACCCCCCCGCGCCACAGGTCTATACGGCTCCTTCAGAATTCCAGTGAGGGAAGCTTAGCCGAGGAAGGCCAGGGACGCTGGAGCTGGTCTTGGAGCTGCAAGGGACACTCGTGGTCAGCCTCCTCTCCTATTCATTCTAGGCTCCCTTCACTCTCACCTAGTGCCTCTGCTAATCGTGGTTGGGACCCTCATCCCTGGGGGTCTGAGCCTCAGGTCACCAGGCCCTTCGCACCCAGGGTTGCTGCATTTGTCTACTTACCATCAAAATCAGGTCAAAGGACTATGAAGAGATGCCCGGTCCCACCTGGGTGCAGAATTTTCCCTGCCCCACCGGGTGATGGAAGCCTCGTCTCCTCTCGATGGTCAAAGGTAGGTCACCCCTGCGAGGTGGTGGCTCTTCTTGCCTGGACAACTTTGGTTCAGCGGGACATGTGCTGTGTTGTTTCTTCCTTTGGGAAGCAGGGTCTCCAGGTGTCCGGGGCCGAGAGTTGTAGGGACGGGAACCTCCAGGTCCCTAAGTGGGTCACTGGGAGTAACGGTAGGCAGGGCGTCGTGTGGAACAATGGCTGAGCCACCAGACGTGTCGGGGACTGAAAGACACCCCTGCAAAGGGGAAATGGCAGTGTGACGACAGTAAGGAAACACGTACCCACAGCACGGAAGCCGTCTGTTCCCTCTGTGGCTGTTGGCAGAATCTTAGTCATAACCGTCTTTCTTTGGATGACTGGTTTTCATGGCGGCTTCTCTCTGCTGCTATCTTGCTAGAGGAAACTTCCATCGATGGGGAAATAATAAGTGTGATCTTAAGCCTGCTCTCCAGCCCTTGAAGTACAGGTTTTTCTTAGTCCCTAAATATCTGAGGATTCCTGGAGCGCCCAGTGGTAACAAGACCACTCTTTAAGTATTTATTCAGTAAATTAAAAGGTGAAAGCAAAGCGAGGTGAGGAATCTAAACTCAGAACTTGCATGCTTCTCCCGAGTGGACTAGTCTGCAGTTCTGGTCCAGAGTCTGGCTAAGCGTTCAGCTGTCTGAGCTGCGAGGCCGGTGGAGGCGGGGGTGGGTGGGGCGGCCTCGGACCCTGGGCTGCCTGTAGAGAAGGGGAACCAAACTGCCCCCGTCGCTGCTCTGATAGGTCACCTCTAGGTCTTCAGATACTTCCTGGTGCTTTGTCAGGCTTGGGATCCTCTACACCTTTAAGAAAAAATCACTCTCTGGGGGCCTGGGTGGCCCAGTTGGTTGGGCGTCTGACTTTGGCTCAGGTTCACGGTTCACGAATTCGAGCCCCACATCAGGCTTTGTGCTGACAGCTCTCCCAAAAACAAACATTAAAAAAAAATTTTTTTTTTTTAAAACTGCCAAAGTAGGTATTCTGCCAAGTACTGCCTTTCAAAATAAACTTGGAAAACAGATTGTTGATTCCACTCTTGCTTCAACTCAAGGCTTTTGTGGAGCTCCTCACTTGGCAATGGCCTTGGAGTCCACCTTGGAGCCACATAAAAACGTCAGCCATTTCTACCCCTTTGTTTTGACCAAAATGTTACCGTGCGATAAGATTTTTTATCATAAAGAAAAACAATGCCAAAGTGATTACTATCATTGAAGACTTTTTGTTTTTAATGGGTCACAAGCTTTGAGAAGTTCCAGACGCTTTCAGTAAGTGCAACATAATTTTAAAAATATGTTTAGCCATCCACGGTGATTATTCTGGAGAGGACATTAGCTTACATGTAGGTGTGGTTAAAATCCTCTGCTGTGTTACCTGTCACAGTCACCTATACCACAAAAGCTGTGTTCTATTTACATAACTTCTTACAGAGATTTCACGCACGTGGTAGGCTAAAAATCAAAACTGCTTTTCCCACAAAAACAACTGACAAATTATCACACATGGTTCTTTCATGACAAAGTAACATGACACCATTTAAAAAAAATTTTTTTCTTCAACGTTTTATTTATTTTTGGGAGAGAGACAGAGCATGAACGGGGGGGGGGGGGGGGGGGGGCAGAGAGAGAGGGAGACACAGAATCGGAAACAGGCTCCAGGTTCCGAGCCATCAGCCCAGAGCCCGACGCGGGGCTCGAACTCACGGACCGCGAGATCGTGACCTGGCTGAAGTCAGACGCTTAACCGACTGCGCCACCCAGGCGCCCCATGACACCATTTTTAGAAAATTAAAAAAGGCAACTTAAAGCTAATTATCAGCATTTACAAATCAGTAAATCATGAAGTTTATGAAAAACCATTACATGCAGAGGTACAAAACACCAGTCAGAGCCAATCTAGCATAAATCTCGCTGGACAGGATTAAACGTCCTTTTCAACAGGCTGGCTATAATTATACTCACAGTGCGATTGGCCCTTCCCACCGTATGCTTATCACCATAAAACACACACACCTCACCGGTACAAATTTTATTATTTCTACTTGACGTTTTCCCCTAAAACAGAAAAGCAGTCTCTAAAATATGAAATAAATTAAGAATAATCTAGAAGTCTCATAGGGGTCCAATTCCAGTACAGAGTTCCTCTATGTCACGAAGTACTTCACTTAGCCACTCGGGAGGAATTTATTTTCTTGATGTCAACCTGGCTCAGAATCAGTGTCCCATTTTTGAATTTTCCAACCTGTCCAATCCGTCCACTTGACAAAATGCTGGGAGCTGATTTCTTCTTTTTGGCTCTCCTGCGGTTAAAAATCAGGGAAGGGTACTGAAGTTAAGCTTACGAGGAAGGGCTATCGCACCGCCAGCCAGGTGGCCGGGGCCCCGCCCCTACAAACTCCGGGTGTCCCCCTGTGCGTCCTCCCCACTGCCCCGCCCCAACTGCGGGCCTTCACGTGGCCCCAGAAACACGCCGCCTCCTTCCTGCCTCAGGGCCTTTGCATTGGTTTCTTCTATGTGGAATGTTCTCTACAGATCTTTCCAGGCTGCCCCCTCCTCTTCACTCAGCTCTCAACTCAGATGTCACCCCCCTAGAATGACATCCCGGCCCATCCCCGGTGATTTTCTCCCCCGATGCTTTAGCGCCACCTCTTCATAGAACCTGCCGGGGCCTGACATCCCCTCGCTAACCTGTTCATATGTTTTGGTGTGTTTCCCTCACTACAGTGTAAGCTCCTCAAAGACAAGGAAACTGCCAGTGTGACGATGCCTATATTCCCGACACCCAAGACACCCATATGCCTGGCACGCAGGGGACCCTCAACGGACAGACATGTATGGTCAGAACAAACGACCGCTTGACGGCACATGCAAGCTCACTAGGAGTCCAAGGAAAAGGCCAAGACAAAAGAAGTCGATTTTGAACCAGTAATTCAAGGAGGGAGAAAAGGCATTTTTGAACAAAAGCTAAGAAACAAAAGTAGAGCAACAACATCAATGTCCCGTACTCAGACCGTGGCGCCCTGCCTACGTGGTAGGTCAAGGAACTGGCAGTAGAGACCCAGGCCGTGCTGTCTTATCAGCAGGCTCTTGAGGGGGGGACACAAGTCTTTTGTTGGAAACGTCAATCTCAGCTTCTCCACCAGTCACTTGAGGTGTCTGGTCTTTGGAAATGGGAGACCGGAGAAAACTCCCAGTTTGGTTCTGAGGTAGCTATTCGATCTTGGGCCATGTCCTACACCTGGTCTTCCCTTCACGGGACTTGCTGAGAATCCACGAGGGACAGTGAAGCACTCTAACGGGCTAGAAACACCGCGTAAACTCCAGGTGCTATCTTCACAACTGATCCAGTATGCTTATCCAGATCATTCCACCCCAGTAGCTGATGATGTGTCACTCACCTGTCTTCCTGCCCTTTCCTCTTCTTTTTCTTGAAAATGTCTGTGTCCTGGGCCTGATTTCAGAATTTAAGATAACATATGTGTCAATAACGGATAATGGAGATTCAAAAAAAAGACGAGGTTTGTGGTCAAAAGCCAGTAAGCTATCATTTAATATTTTTTTTCAAGTAGGTGTATGAACACAAACTTAGTTTCTTCCTAAAACTCTTTCAGAGTGTGAAAGGTCATTCCAGAAAAGACTGACAGTAGAAACATCGAATCTTCCGTTTTAGATGAAAGGGAGCGAGTGTAACCTCTGTTCCTCTGAGGTTTTTCATGGGTCCTCGTGTTCTACACAATGTAAAATGCAATACAGGAGAAAGAGCAAGGCAGCTTATGTTATCCGAGTGGGAGTTTGCTATTTCAGAGCAAACCTTTCATGTAAATATGCCAGGTTACCTGGCTGGTATTACGGAATAAGGCGGACCTGAACAAGTGGAGAAAATGATCCTCTAACTCCAGATTTTACTGTTGTCTACACTGCTTTCCAAGCAGCCGGTCCAGCATTCCACTGTGGCCAAATGCAGCCACCTTTCTGTTCTAGCTTAGGAACGAAAAGGCTATTACTCCTACCATTCTCTTTTCTTCTTCTTTTGCTGCCTTTTTTTCTTTGATTTGCTCCTGCAAGACCTTGTAATTCACATAACTATTTTTGGGAGGCTGAAATGAAAGGAAAAAAAAAAAAAAGATATCATTTTTTATTTTGCAAAGACCTCCCAGTGACCCATGCCCTGACTTGCCCCGGGCTCTTCCCCCGCTTTTGTATCCTGTCTGATGCTGGAAGACGGAAGCAGCCCCCCACCTGAGCACCCAGCATTATGGCACGTTCCCGTTCCAGGACTCTTTCCTTTCCTTTTCCGTAACCCGTGATCCCGAACCGGTGCACTTCCAAGCGAGCCTGTGGGCACAAAGCAGAATCAGACCCAGGTGCGTTCCAAAGACTCCAGACAGGAGATACATCCCGGGGAGTAACACACGTCAGACACAACGTGCTGTCGCAAGAACTCTGTGGAGGGTGGTTTGCACAGCCTTGTGGAGGTCTCCGTTCTCCCACGTTTAATTTTGGACAGGTGAAGCAAAGACTTGTCTCCACACAAATTAGCAACAGAATTCGGATTAAACGCAGAGATGCTCTCTGTGTTTCCACTTAAAGGTACCCCTCCAAACACACTCACAAGGAGAAACCATTCCTCACGGAGGTTTCAAATGCAGATCTGGGTTTGCTCATTTGTTTAAAGACACTGCAGAGGAAGAGGAAAAAGTCACCAGTGCCCACTCTTAGCAGCTCAATCCCTTCCTCCTCTCTTCTTTTTCATGCATTTTTAAAAACCGAGTTTTGACTACAAAATACACACGCCTGGCTTTTCATACTTACCACTGCATTACTGGCATTGTGGTCATAGGCCCTCGGGTTTTAACTGACAGCCTAATAATCACCAAGAGAAGGTAGTGTGATTTGCTTAGCCATTTACTCAACCACTGGACATGTAAGCATATTCTTTTGTGTGTGTGTGTGTGTGTGTGTGTGTGTGTGTGTGTGTGTGTGTTATAAAGCTGAAAAGATTAACAATTTCAAAACACATACCTTCTCTAAGTTAAATTCTTGTCTATCCACATCGTTCCCAAGGATATTAGTTTTGGTCTGAAAAGAAAGAGAATTCTTATTAAGATCATCTGTTACTGTATCATTAGAGTATTTGTCACCAACAAAGTAGTCATGTTTTTTTGTTTTTCAGCTTATTTATTTTGAGAGAGAGTGCACATATGTGTGTGCATGAGCGGGGGAGAGGCAGAGAGAGAGAGGGAGAGAGAGAATCCCAAGCAGGCTCCCGTGCAGGCCTGAGGCAGCTCAAACCAGTGAATCATGAGTGTGAGGCAAGGATCAGCAATGAGCTGAACCTGCCCCAGGCCACCCAGGCACCTAGGGGTAGCCACATGTTCACCCAGAAACTGGCCCGAATGTCACATGCAGACAATAACACAAAGCCTAATTACCAGTTAATGGAAGAAAAAAAACCTTTTGAAGTCTCAAAGCTTAAGAAAGGATGAGAAATTTCTTTTAAATTTTTTTTAACATTTATTCTTGAAATTAAGCCGAGGACAAGAGCCGCAGAGGAAGCCAGAGAGAGGAGACCTGAGAGAATCCAAGCAGGCTCAGGCTCCTGGGCTACTCAACACAGAGCCTGACGTAGGGCTCGAACTCACAAACCATGAGGCCATGACCTGAGCCAAAGTCGGATGCTTAACCAACTGAGCCAACCAGGTACTCCAGGATGAGAAATTTTTTTTAAATACAAAAATAAAAAAAAATGATGAGAGAGACTAATGTCTGTCTCTCATAAACCACATGTACAAGATTCTGTTTGGTGCGGGGTTTAAAAAAGGGTGGGTGTTTGAGGGATTCTGGAGGGTAATATTATATTTGAATAATTCTTTCTCTTCTTTCTTCTTCCCATCCAGCCATTAGAATGATGGCTAACAAAACTCTCTTGACTTGAGTATTTCTTTCAGGAACATCAGATTTCTAGAATGGCTTATACTTCCCAACAGAAAATGATGATACTGCAAAAGCCTGCAAAGCATGTGACTCTTTACATCGATGCATCTACTAGCTACGGTTACTGACCCACAGAACTGACCAGAAGCTTGAGATGTGAAGGAAATACACTGTCCCATCTGGTTAACAAGAGCAGTCGCTACTCAACTCCAGCCACCAGATCTGGACCAACGGGAAGCAGGCTCTAAAAAAGAAAAGGCACCCTTCTCCCTCACAGGACAGTGGTGAAGAGGGATGGATGGCCGGCTGCTCTGCTCCCACGATGGGACCTCCCGCTGCTCCTGCTCAGCAGGTGGGGGTGGGGGGAGGGTCGGGGCTGGGTTGGCTCGGTGCCCTACCCCACACCACGCTGGGAAGTGCCAGAAACACTGCAATCTACAGGTTTCCTGGACTCTCCTTCTGCAAAGGGGAGCTGTATTTCAGCTCAGCCTGTCCCCCCAACCCCTGCTGTGTTTGGGCTGTGTGGGTCAGTCAGTGACTGTTTCCACAGGGGACAGCCTCTGTCTCCACAAGGCCATGTACTGACCTCACAGAGGGGTTCTTACGATGAAAGTGGATGAAGTGTGCAATGGGAGATGTTAGCGACGTCCAATAAACAGGAAGACGTGGCCAATGCTGCGAAGTCACAAGACTCCTGGGGGACACCACAACACTGCTCACCCGCTGTCACGCCGCACACGGACTCTTGCAGGCCCATGTGCTGACGGTGACAGACAGAACAGGGCACCACCAAGGATGCTCTAAGCATGCGGCCTCGTTCTGTGCTCTCAGTCCCAATAAATGCACCTTCCGCGTTAGTTTATCAAGATTCCTGACTTTTACTACGCTTACGATTTTCTTGGATCGTGTATTGCACAGACTCAAATGCCTTAATTAAGACCACGGGCACGTGGAGGACGCCAGGCACCTCCACTCATTTATCCCAGAAAGTCTTACTTCCTGTTCCATGACTGGAAAAAGTCTACGTCTACCTTGAAGGTAAAAACTCTTCTCCACTGGTACGCGCGTCTAATCTACTCGATATGATGAACACTAATACCACTTTTGGAAAACAAATGGCTTAAGTCTTAATGACTTCAGGATCATCCAGATCCTCAAATATAAATTATATGTTAAAAAGAAACACGGTAGGAGTGCCCTGGTGGCTCGGTCAGTTGAGTGTCCAACTGCTGTCTCGGGTCATGATCCCAGGGTTGTGGGATCAAGCCCCACGTTGGGCTCTGCGCTGAGCATGCAGCCGGCTTGGGATTTTGCCTTCGTCTGTCCCTCCCCGCACCCCACCCCCGTCGTGCTGCCCCTCTAACCCACGTGTGCTCGAAGATAAAATTTAGGAAGAGAAAAGGAAACCTGTATGCTGGTCACAGCCTCCAAAATCCCATGAAACATTTAACTCCATTTCTAAGTATTGAAGTAGTTGTTTATCTTTCTTCTTCTGTCCCAACCATCCAATCAAGTAATGGCTAAACTCTTTCAAGTTGAAAATTTCTTTCAGGAACATCAGGTTTCCCGCAATACTGGAGATGTCACAGATGCCCCTGACTGACTATTATTAGACGATCAGCAAGAGGAAGGAAGCACTGTAATAAAATTCCTAGCCACCTGTGCTACAGTCACCGCAGGGCTGAAACCCCTGGGTCTGGGGGAGAAACTGGCCCCCAAAGGACAGGGGCATGGCTTCTGATGTCCCTGCTTCACCCAACGCCAGCCCACAGATTACCCAGTCCTTGCATGCAGGCGTCTGTTTATCTTGGCCGTGGGGACACCTGGGCCGAGGGGCTGTGGAGACCTGAGTGGCAGGCCTGGCCTCACACAGATCATCTTGCTGTAGAAACTCCTCAGCTTTGTAGCCGTCGATGTATTTGAGAAAAGGTCTGGATTCTAGATCCTTGTTTATTTATCTTTTCATTTTTATTCAAAAAAATTTTTTTTAATGTTTATTTATTTTTTTTTTTTTTTA